GATGCTATTTATATGAAGCCTGAATACACGCACAGACTAGTATGCAAGTTTATGGACATGCGTGTTTGTAGTAGTAGAGTTAAAATATGTGGTTGGGCGCCGTGGCTCACGCCTGTAATCCCAGCACTTTGGGAGGCCGAGGCGGGCAGATCACCTGAGGTCAGGAGTTCAAGACCAGCCTGACCAACATGGAGAAACCCCTCTCTACTAAAAATACAAAATTAGCCAGGTGTGGTGGCGCATACCTGTAGTCCAAGGGAGAATTGCTTGAGCCCAGGAGGCGGAGGTTGCGGTGAGCCAAGATCGCACTATTGCACTCCAGCTTGGGCAAAAAGAGCGAAACTCCGTCTCAAAAAATAAAAAGAAAGAGACTATCATTTCATAAGTGCTTTTTGACTATTTGAAGTCTATGTATGAATATTTGATAATTTAATCTTTTTAATTTCCTTTAGGCTTTATTGAACAACTCTCATTATTACCATATGGCCCATGGAAAAGATTTTGCATCTAGAGGAATTGAAAGTAAGTATACTTTTCATACTTAATAACATAACCAGACTGCTTGACTTGGCTCTTCTGTCTAAAGACTTAAATGTGTCTAATGTATGTATAATAGATGTTTAGTGAAGGAAGAGTAAAATAAAGAATCTCAAAAATTTGGAGAGATTTACTTAAAAAGGAAGGCCTAAGTCCAGATTTCTCCCAGCCAAGTATAACCAAGCCTAACTCTGCAAATCCAGATTTCTACCATTATATCTTCTGTTCCTTTGCCAACTTTTTCCTGAGGTTTGCCTTTATGTGTTTTTGAAGAGTCAGTTTTCATTTCCTGAAACCTGGACATCACTGAGAAGGCTGGATTCCTGAGTACTATGGGGAGATAGAGGAAGGAAGGAAGGCCCACTTAAGCTTTTGGTAGTAGAAAAATTAGAGAGAAAGAGTGAGGCATAGCGGAAAAGGAAAAGGACATTTCATAACATATCTTGTCTCCTGACATACTTTTTGAGCTGTTTTAATCTTTTGTCTCCACTTATTGTTGTTGGTAGGTACTTCCAGAAAGGTAGTCTCTTCTGGGCAGGACCTAGTCATAACCTTGGGTTGTTACTTTTCCTTCATTTGTTTCTTTACAGAGGTAGGTTTGAGGGGCTACTTACAGGCAGTCCATTGGATATAGAGATGATGTGTATGCACTAAATCATATAGAATATCATACTAGATGAAAAATGGAATGATGTAAAGAAAGAAGAGCTAGGGGTAGTCAGGAGACCTGCATTGTAGGCAAGGCTTTTACATCCTAGCTCTGTGACCCTGGGTAAATCAGAAATCTTTCAGTCTCTTTTTCCTTATCTCTAAGATATGTGTTGGTTGTTATGTGAGGTACTTTCTAAGATACCCTTCTTACCTCTAAAGTTTAATTGAGTTGAGCATTTTTATCCAATACTGTTGCTTCAGAGTTCTCTTCTGAGTTGAATGAGTGATTAAAACCTAGGTGATTAAACTTTGTCAGCCATAATTATAAGTTATTACATTTTGAAACTTTAATACTGGCTTTTATGAGCATTAGGTTGAAATTTTCCAGTTGGTGAGTGAAAAACACTGCACAGTGCTTCAAGAATTTAGCTAAGGACTAAAGATTAATTTAACAAATTACAGTGTCCGAAGTTCGCTTGAATTTAGACAAGATGATGGAGCAGAAGAGTACTGCAGTAAAAGCTTTAACAGGTGGAATTGCCCACTTATTCAAACAGAATAAGGTCAGTGTTTAATATTCAGATTTCTGCTTTACTTTGAATACACATTAAACTTTGCATTATGGAGTGATGATATTTGAACTTGGTTACAGGGGAATATTTATTTAATTTAAAATAGCTTGCTAACCTGAAATAGATTTCCTTGACATATATCACATGTTTTGCTGCATGGTGTAGCATTACTGAGTAAGGAAGCATTTTGTTTTAGATAAATTATTTACAGAGTAATTTTTCCTTGGAATGATTCATCAAACAAATTACTTTAAACTTTGCGAATTTATAAACATTATTTCATAAAGGTTATTCATGTCAATGGATATGGAAAGATAACTGGCAAAAATCAAGTCACTGCTACGAAAGTTGATGGCGGCACTCAGGTTGTTGATACAAAGAACATTCTTATAGCCACGGGTTCAGAAGTTACTCCTTTTCCTGGAATCACGGTATTTGTGCTTCGTAATTTACAACCATTACAACTTTTCTTTAGAAATATGTTTTATAAATTATTTATGCTATTTGTGAACTTTGAATGAGAGATTTCTGACTGAAATACTATATTTTGATGGTCATTCAGCTTTGGGAAGTTACCTGTCTTTATTCTGCAGTGATTTTGACCAGCTATAGAACACTTTATATTAAGATATGTTTGAGTACAGTATGAAGTTAAAATTGACCATTGCGTTTGGAATATTGGAGGATAAAATTTAAAGTCAGCATTTTTAATGGGATTTGATGGAATTAGGTATATAGATACCTCAAAACAAATAAATGACGTAGTATTTTTAGTGATTCTGCTGAGATCACAGTTTATAAATACATTTATCTCTTCATATCCTTCGTGGATTGGTTCCAGGACCCCCCCTTGGATACCAAAACCCACAGATGCTCAAGTGCCTTATGTAAAATGACATAGTATTTGCATATAATCTGCATACTTCCTCCTGTATACTTAAGTCATCTCTAGGTTGCTTATAATACCTAATACACTGTAAATGCTATGCAAGTAGTTCTTATACCGTATTGTTTAGGGAATAATGACAAAAAAACCCATCTGTACATGTTTGGTACAGATGCAGCCATCAATTTTTTTTCTGAATATTTTCAGTGCATGGTTGGTTAAATCTGCAAATTCAGAACCCATAGATATGGAGGGTCGACTGTACTAGGTTTTTCAGATTATTTTGATTATATCTTTTGTTTTTCTTACAGATTGATGAAGATACAATAGTGTCATCTACAGGTGCTTTATCTTTAAAAAAAGTTCCAGAAAAGATGGTTGTTATTGGTGCAGGAGTAATAGGTGTAGAATTGGTAAGTGTTGTCTTTCTGCTTCTTATTACCTCCTTGGAGTTGGAAGAGACTTAAAGGTCACCTTTTTGATTCTTTGTATAACATTATAGGCTGATCAGCATTGAGTTTTGCTTGAACACTTCTAGTAAAAAGAGTTTACTTTTGTTTTTTTCAAGACAACCTATTTATTTACTCATTTAGAATGTTCTTCTTTATTTTAGTCTGTTTCCTTGTACCTTCCACCCTCCTATTTCCTAGAACTGGTCTAATTCTTTTTTAATATGACAGCCATTCAGATATTTGAGGACAGCTTTTATCCTGAGCAAATTGCATTCCAGATAAAGATTATTCTCTTTACCACGACATACATGATTTGGCTCTTCCCTTCTCTATCCTCATCTTTATGCCTCTTAGGTTTTAGAAATGTCAAACTACTTGCATTTCTCTGAACACCATGTTATTTTAGACCTTCTGTCTGCCTTGTTCTCCCTTCTTGTCCATTTGGCAGCTTTCCACACAATTCCAATGACTTCCCTCCATTTTAGAGCCAGTGTGCCTTGTAATCACCAGGAATTGCTCTACTTCTGAAATATTACATTCAGATGTTTTATTATCTGTATAATAATATAATCTATATAATATATTGTAGTTTTATTTTTAGTTTTTTGAGGAACCTTCATACTGTTTTCCGTAGTGGCTTTACTAACTTACTTTCCACTAACAGTGTATGAGGGTTCTCCTTTCTCCACTTCCTTGTCAGCATTGCCATCTTTTTGATAAAAACCATTTTAACTGGGGTGAGATGATAGCTCATTGTGATTTTGATTTGTATTTCTGAATTAATAATGTTGAACAATTTTTCATACATGTGTTGTCCATTTGAATGTCATCTTTTGAGAAATGTCTATTCAGATCTGGTGCTTATTTTAAAACTGGATTTTTTTTTGAGCTCCTTATATATTCTGATTATTAATCTCTTGTCAGATGGATAGTTTGCAAATATTTTCTTCCATTCTGTGGGTTGTCTCTTTGTGAATTGTTTCCTTGGCTGTGCAAAAGTTTTTTAACTTAATCCCATTTGTCTGTTTTTGCTTTATTGCCTATACTTTTGAGGTCTTACACAATGAGTCTTTGCCCAGACTAGTGTTCTGGAGCATTTCTCCAATGTATTCTTTCAGTAATTCTATAGTTTCAGATTTTAGATTCAAGTCTTTAATCCATTTTGATTTGACTTTTGTATATGGTAAGAGAGAGGGGTCTAGTCTCATTCTTCTGCATACGGTTATCCAGTTTTCCTAGCACCATTTATTGATGAGACTGCCTTTTCCTCATTGTGTTTGTGATACCTTTGTTGAAAATGAGTTAGCGGAAAACGTGTGGATTTATATTTGGGTTTTTTATTCTGTTCCATTGGTCTATGTGTCTTTTTATGACAGTATGATGTTATGCTATTTTGGTTACTACAGCTTTTTAGTAAATTTTGAAGCTGGGTAATATGATTCTTCCAGGTTTTTTGTTGTTGTTGTTCAGGATTACTTTGGCAGTTGAAGAATGTCATTGGTAGTTTGATAGGGATTGCATTGAATCTGTAAATTACTTTGGGTAGTATTGTCATTTTAATGATATTAATTTTTCCAGTCTATGAATATGAACTATTTTTTGTGTCCTCTTCAATTTGTTTTATCAGTGTTTTTTAGTTTTTTATGTATAGATCTTTCACATCTTTGGCTAAATTGATTCTTAGGTGTTTTATATTCTCTGTAGCTATTGCAAATGGGATTGCTTTTTTTTTTCTTTTTTAGATTGTCCACTATTGGTGTATATAAATGCTACTGATTTTTGTATGTTGATTTTGTATCCTGCAACTTTACTGAATTAGTTTGTAAGTTTAATAGTTTTTTGGTGGAGTCTTTAGATTTTCTAAATATAAGATCATATAGTCTGCACAAAAGATTAATTTGACTTCTTCCTTTCCAATTTGATTGCCCTTTGTTTCTTTCTCCTCTATAATTGCTGAGGCCAGGACTTCCAGTATTATGTTGAGAAAAGTGGTGAAAAATGAGCATTCTTATATTGTTCCAGATCTTAGAGGAAAGGCTTTCAATTTTTGCCCGTTCAGTATGATGTTGTCCGTGAGTTTGTCTTACTATTTTGAGGTGTGTCCCTTCTATATCCGGTTTTTTGAGGGTTTTTATCATGAAGGGATGTTGAATTTTTATTAAAGGCTTTTTCAGCATCTGTTGAAATGATCATATGGTTTTTGTTCTTGGTTCTGTTAATGTGACGAATCATGTTTATTGGTTTATGTATGTTGAATCATCCTTGCATCTCTGGGATGAATCCTGCTTGATCATGGTGAATGATCTTTTTAATGTGTTGTTGAATTCAGTTCATTGTGGTTTTAACTTAGATTTCTCTAATGACTTACAGGGTTGAGCATTTTTTAATGTACTTATTTGCCATCTCTGTATCTTCCCTCTTCAGACATTTGTCCATTTTTTATTGAATTTTTCTTAGTTTGGAGAATTCTTTGTATATTCTGGATATAAATCCCTTATCAGATAGAAGTTTTGTAATTTTTTTCCCCAGTCTGTGGCTTCTGTTTTTGTGTTCTCAATGTTATCTAAAACTTTCTAATTTTGATGAGGTCCAATTTATCATTTTTCTTTTATGGATTGTGCTTTTGGTGTTACATCAAAGAAATCTTTGCCTAACTCAAGGTCAATTCTAGGATTTCCTCTCCTAGGTGTTCTTCTAGAAGTTTCATAGTATTGGGTTTTACATTTAGGTCCATGATCCATTTTGAGTTAACTTTTATATGTACATAGTGTTAGATTTTTAGTGTCACTGTATTGCCTCTAGTTAACTCAGTCTTCATACCAGAAATTCATGAGATTTTTTAAATGAATGCCCACACCTAATTTAGGGAAGGTAAACTTGTATAGTTCATTTGAATTACCAGATGGTTTTAGTATACATTCTTGCAAAGGATATGTTCATGGTTTTTCATATTTAATGCTGTGAAATTATGTTTATCTTGCCAGTTATGTATTGTTTAATATATAATTGTTTAGAAGTTATGCTAATTTTCAAAATGTTAAAGTAAACTGGCATTCAGTTTAAATTATAATTTGAATGAAAAAGTAAAAATTTGTCCTTTGTTGAGAAAAGAAAATAGGAAGCCAGTTTAATATTCTGCAAACATCAGTGATTTGTAGCCTACTTCCTTTTCCTCAAGACCTTTGCACTTGCTGTTTCCCTCTGCCTAGAACAACCCTTTTCCCCCAGTTAACTAGATAGTTCATTGCCTCATTCTTTCAAGTTTTGTGCAAATGTCACTCCCAGTGAGGCTTTCCCCAACCGTGCTATTCAAAATTGTAATCCCAGTAATCAGTAGTCCCAGTTTTACTTCCTGTTTTATTTTTCTTGTAGCACTTTATTCTCTGTTATGAACTTTACGTATTTGTCTATGTCCCCTGCCAGAATATAAGATCCTTGAGAACAGAGATTTTAGCCTTGTTCACTAATGTATGCCTAGAAGCTAAAATATTGCCTAGCATGTAGTATTCAACAGATATTGAATGAATAAGTTAATAAATGTATGAAGTTATACATATTTAACACAGGGTTAATTTTAAACCTCAGAGCTTCTCCATAGGAACATACTAGTGAAAGAAGAAAATATTTTACAATAAATTATTAAGATGATTTCATAAACATTTGCTATAGAAACTTTTATGATTATTGGGGTTTTTATTTGCAGGGTTCAGTTTGGCAAAGACTTGGTGCAGATGTGACAGCAGTTGAATTTTTAGGTCATGTAGGTGGAGTTGGAATTGATATGGAGATATCTAAAAACTTTCAACGCATCCTTCAAAAACAGGGGTTTAAATTTAAATTGAATACAAAGGTTACTGGTGCTACCAAGAAGTCAGATGGAAAAATTGATGTTTCGTAAGTATACATCATTTGTTTTTGATGTAGCATCCCTGTCTTGTTTCTTTAAGCAAAACACTCAACTTTCAAAATCAGCTTAGCAAATACAGGTTTTTTTCTAACATAAGGTCATTTTATTACTTAATATCACTCAGTTGCTTATCAAATTATTGCATTAGCACATTGAAATTTATGATTAGGTTAATGCTAGAAAGATTAATCCAATATTCTCATTGTTGTACCTTCTTATAGTGTATTCAGAAAAATTTAAATTCCCAATATTCAATAAAATTGAACCAATATTTTTTGGCAGATATATGGGGAAATCAGTAATAAAAGATTGTTTACTATACGTCTGGTACTCTACTGATTAAATACTTTAGTGGCATTTCACATATTTAATGAATTAGTTCTTAAATAAATATTTAAATTAAATAGTTAGTAGTATTTAAATAGTTTAATAACTAACTTTTACTCAAAGATAAGAAGCTGAATTCATTGACTTAATTAATGACTAACTTGCCACACAGCTAGTGGGTGGCAGTCAGTAGTTGAATTTGGATTTTTGTGACCCAAAGACCGTATTCTTAACTGCTGTTTTATTATACTGTGGTTTTTGTGAGATTTTAATAATGGACCTCTAGATTTTAATGATAAATCTCTTTCATTGTCTGAGTCTTATGTTTGCATTCAAATAACTTATATTGTTAAAAATGTCATCAGTGCTGGCTGGTTGTGGTGGCTCACACCTGTAATCCCAGCACTTTGGGAGATCGAGGTGGGTGGATCACGAGATCAGGAGATCAAGACTAGCTTGGCCAACGTGGTAAAACCCCATCTCTACTAAAAATACAAAAATTAGCTGGATGTGGTGGCGTGCACCTGTAGTCCCAGCTACTCAGGAGGCTGAGGCAGGAGAATCTCTGAAACCTGGGAGGTGGAGGTTGCTGTGAGCTGAGATTGCACCACTGTACTCCAGTCTGGCGACAGAGCAAGACTCTATCTCAGAAACAAAACAAAACAAAAATGTCATCAACAGTTGAGAAATAACTGGCCTTAAATTTCTAAGCCTATCAATTTATGCAGATGTGTATTTAACATTTATATACTGTTTGTTATCTAGTATTGAAGCTGCTTCTGGTGGTAAAGCTGAAGTTATCACTTGTGATGTACTCTTGGTTTGCATTGGCCGACGACCCTTTACTAAGAATTTGGGACTAGAAGAGCTGGGAATTGAACTAGATCCCAGAGGTAGAATTCCAGTTAATACCAGATTTCAAACTAAAATTCCAAAGTAAGTTGGATAATTGTCTGCATTTTCAGTAATTTTAAAATTTATTTCAAACAGTATTTTGAAAAGTAAGATTTTTATGCTTAAAATATGTATTGGCTTTGGGGAAGAACAGTAAACTTACAAAATGTAAAATAAAAAAGAACTGAATTTTACTCAGAGATAAGAAGCCGAATTCATAGATTTTTGAAGAGCTGCATTTGATACATTTTTTGGTGACTTATTTACTGGAAACTTCTGTTACCATGATGTAACTGAAGATAAGTAGCTGTGCTTTCAGAAATTCATTGTGTTTCTTTTGATTTCTGTGGTAGTATCTATGCCATTGGTGATGTAGTTGCTGGTCCAATGCTGGCTCACAAAGCAGAGGATGAAGGCATTATCTGTGTGGAAGGAATGGCTGGTGGTGCTGTGCACATTGACTATAATTGTGTGCCATCAGTGATTTACACACACCCTGAAGTTGCTTGGGTTGGCAAATCAGAAGAGCAGTTGAAAGAAGAGGTAAGTCTGAACATGGGTGGTTTTACGCCAATGTGTGAGTTGTGCCAATGACACTGGTGGTTGAGAAACAGCATTTTATCATTATGCTAATGTATTTAACAGCTGTGAAATATAGTTTAGCTTATATATTTTTTCCTTGTTAGCATTATAAAGAGATCATTCACAGATTTATCAGCAGTAATTGAGAGGAGGAGAAGTTGCTTATATTAAAAAACTAGTAATTCCAGATTTTTTATATTTGGCTTTGAAATATAACCAGATGGACAGACATTTGTATTTGCTTGCATTTGTGCCCAAGATACATTTCATTAACCAGTCTTTTGGTCTTTCCTTCTATGTGCTTTGCGAACAATTACCTTCTTGGGATTTATTTTCTGAACAAATGGTAGATGATGTTACTAATTGGAATGAACTTTTCTGGCACTTACGTAGATTCTTTTTTTCTGACTGTCACACAGGGTATTGAGTACAAAGTTGGGAAATTCCCATTTGCTGCTAACAGCAGAGCTAAGACAAATGCTGACACAGATGGCATGGTGAAGATCCTTGGGCAGAAATCGACAGACAGAGTACTGGGAGCACATATTCTTGGACCAGTGAGTATTATAAAACCAGAGAAATCCCATTAAGATTTCTAGAAAGCATCACTGTTTATTAATTATAAACCGCCTGGTGTTACTCTGAGGTTGCTCATTTCCAGCAAAACTTTGAATATGGCTCTCTCTACATCATTTCTAGAAGAATACCAGCAGCACTCTCACAGTCTTGCTCACTGTATCATCTACTTTCTGTCCTGCAGCCAAGATTCTCTCTTTAAAACATATACCAGATTATGCCCCTGAAAGTCCTCCAGTGGTGCTTTTCAACTTCAGATTGTTACATCCAGGGCCTCACTGAATCTGTTTGTGCCTACTTTTCTGACCTCTTCTTTTTCTGCTCTCCTTTACTCATTAATTCCATGTCACATGGGCCTTCTCTCATTTTCACAAATGTTTGCATTTTAGGGCCTTTGTGCTTAAGGTACCCTCTGCTTAAACTGTTCTGCCTCCAGATCTTTGAATGGCTGGCTCCTATTGTTCAGGTCTCAGCTCAAATGTTACCTCCTAAGGGAAGCCTTTCCTACCACTGAGCCTAAAGTATATATCTTTCTTATAGATATCTCTTGTATCTGATGTAACAATAATGAGAATAGAATATTTGAGTGCTGTGTCACTTTAGTATACATTTTGTTATTTTTACATAAGCATTGTAAGATAGGTGCTGTTATTTTTGAGGTGAAGAAACTGAATGAAGCATACAGAACCAATGAATGGTTAAGGTAGTAAATGGTAGATATGAATTGAAGGCCCTTTGGCTTCAGAGCCCAAGCTCTTCAGTGTCGCCTTTTCTGTTAAGCTTTTCCTGACTTTTCTTCAACTGATAGACAGATTTAAGGCGTTTTTAAGATCTAAAAGCTTCCTCTGTTAACCATTGCTATCCTATTAGCATGTAGTTTTTACCATGGTAGCAAATTTACTTGGCTTGTTATTTTAAAGGGTGCTGGAGAAATGGTAAATGAAGCTGCTCTTGCTTTGGAATATGGAGCATCCTGTGAAGATATAGCTAGAGTCTGTCATGCACATCCGGTAATTATTAACAACATATAGAATTGATGGTTGCCTAAATTTTCTTCTGGCCCACAAATATTTGTTTTTTAATTCTAAATTTCTTCCCTTGCAGACCTTATCAGAAGCTTTTAGAGAAGCAAATCTTGCTGCATCATTTGGCAAATCAATCAACTTTTGAATTAGAAGATTATATATTTTTTTTCTGAAATTTCCTGGGAGCTTTTGTAGAAGTCACATTCCTGAACAGGATATTCTCACAGCTCCAAGAATTTCTAGGACTGAATTATGAAACTTTTGGAAGGTATTTAATAGGTTTGGACAGAATGGAATACTCTTATATCTATATTTTACATAAATTTAGTATTTTGTTTCAGTGCACTAATATGTAAGACAAAAAGCTACTTATTGTAGCATCCTGGAATATCTCCGTCAACTCATATTTTCATGCTGTTCATGAAAGATTCAATGCCACTGAATTTAAATAGCTTTTTTCTCTGATACAGAAAAGTTGAATTTTACATAGATGGAGTTAGAATTTGATATGTGAACAGTTGTGTTTGAAGCGAAGTGATCAAGTTATTTTTAATTTGGTTTTCACATTAGAAACAAGTCAGTCATTCAAATAAGATTCAAATGTCTATAAACCAAACTGATGTAAGTAAGTGGCTTCTTACTTGTTTTATTTAACCCCTGAATTCTTTTAGTTTAGGGGTAGATTCCATCGTTGTCTACAACTCTGAAGGGTAATTACATAGTTATCCAAATTAAGAGAGTCTATTTAAGGAACTCAAATACGTGGGGATTCAAATGTATTACAGTGGAGAATGAAGATACTGAAATAAACATCTTAAATATTCATTTACTGGTTATTATGAGTACGTGTTGAGATGGTCGTAGTTTTTTTTACGACTACCTCTAGTGTATATTCTTATTTAGTAGGCCTGAATGCATCTTTATTTTCATGTTATAGGACAATATTAAGGCATTTTAAAGGTCATTATCCTTTCATCTATTTTAGAGACACCTACTAAATGTTTAATATATACTTTTGGAGAAGTATAACATAAGGGAGTCTTTAATCTGTGTTTTCCTTGGCTGGGTAAATGACTATTTAAAGAGTGGTATAAAATTGGATGTGTGGTGTTTAAAATGACCATGTCCTAAGGAGACTTAAGTAACAAAGTACTAAATGCTAAGTAGGCTTTTGTATATTGTAACAAATTACTAAATGCTAAGTAGGCTTTTGCATATTATAACTAAATTTAAGAATAATTCAGATTAAGTAGTTCTGAAATTTGGTATAGATAGCATAGATTGTCTCATGCTCATTATGAGTGACATAACGACCCTGGATTCTGTTACATACTTCTAAAGAAAATTGATAGTTGTCTAACTTGGCTGAACACCAACTCCAAACTCTGTCTTCTTTGTAGGTGGCAGCAGCTGAAATCCCTTCTCAGTTGTTTTAGCTTTAGCTATGCTGCTGGAAGTCTTTCCCATGCAAGTGTGTAGTTCAGGGGTCAACCAGAGTTTGGGCAGAAGTCTGCCCCTTCTGTGCCTCCTGTTTTTTTGGGGTTTCCCCTTCATGTTCCAGCTGTTGTGGTTGCCCCATATTCTGCCCTCTGATCCTTAACCAATAAAACTTGGCTTCTGTTTCCCTCTCAAGTGAGAACCTATTAAAAATGAGACATTGAGCCAGTGCTGTTCACTTTTTAAGTGCCAGCTCCCCTCTACTTTTCACCTGTTTGTAGTTGTTTCCAGTGCCTTTAGTTTTTCCTAAAATATGTTTGTTCAGAGTTTGCAGTTGCGATCAGCAGGAGGGTTGGTCTGGTATCTGTGTGCTACTTTGGCATTATTGGAAGTGAACTCTGCATCTTTTTAAAAATTTGAAATCCCAGTATCACGTGAAGTGCTGTTAATGTAAATACCAACATATCCCTTACTCGGGAAAAAAAGTTTTTAGTTAGGGAATAGTGAAATATAATTTAATATGGAATCCTAGCTGTAGAGACACAAAACAGTTAAATCCATCTTTAAGTGTTTACATTCAGTATGAGAATGCAAATCTGGGTGGGGAATAAAGTCCTAAGAATAAAACAAGTTTTTTCAGTTACTGTTATCTACTAAGCTCTCAATATTTTCATAGCTTGTGAAGAGTGAGATTAATTGTCCACTTCATTGAACTGATTAAAATAAATTCAACCGGCTGGGAGCAGTGGCTCACTCCTGTAATCCCAGCACTTTGGGAGGCCAAGGTGGGCGAATCACCTGTGGTCAGGAGTTTGAGACCAACCTGGCCAACGTGGTAAAACCCCATCTCTACTAATTAAATATAAAAATTAGCCAGGTGTGGTGGCAGGCCCCTGTAATCCCAGATACTAAGGAGGCTGAGGCAGGAGAATCACTTGAACCCAAGAGGCGGAGGTTGCAGTGAACTGAGATCATGCCACTGCACTCTAGCCTGGCGACAGAGCGAGACTGTGTCTCAAAAAAAAAAATAATAATAATTTCAAAGTGAGATCTTTAATTGTTTAGCTGAAAAGGAATGGAGAGTTTCTACTGTGTTAAGTAAAATACTTATATAATTGCTCTAGTAGATGAGATATGACAATTTTGCTAGTTATTAGGATTTTTTTTTTTTAAGTTCTGGGGTACATGTGCAGAAATGCAGATTACATAGGTATACATGTGCCATGGTGGTTTGCTGCACCCATCAACCCATCATCTACACTAGGTATTTCTCCTAATGCTCTCCCTCCCCCACCCCCATCCCTGTGTCCATGTATTTTCATTGTTCAGCTCCCACTTACAAGTGAGAACATGTGGTGTTTGGTTTTCTATTTTTGTGTTAGTTTGCTTAGAATGATGGTTTCCAGCTTCATCCATGTCCCTGCAAAGAACGTGAACTCATCCTTTATTATGGCTGCATAGTATTCCATGGTGTATATGTGCCACATTTTCTTTATCCAGTCTGTCATTGATGGCATTTGGGTTGGTTCCAAGTCTTTGTTATTGTGAACAGTGCCTCGATACACATATGTGTGCATGGGTCTTGATAGTAGAATGATTTATAATCCTTCGGGTATATACCCAGTAATAGCATTGGTGTGTCAAATGGTATTTCTAGTTCTAGATCCTTGAGGAATTGCCACACTGTCTTCCACAATGGTTGAACTAATTTACACTCTCACCAACAGTGTAAAAGCGTTCCTATTTCTCCACAGTCTCTCCAGCATCTGTTTGCTGACTTTTTAATGATCGTCATTCTGACTGGCATGAGATGGTATCTTATTGTGGTTTTGATTTGCATTTCTCTAATAACTGGTGATGATGAACTTTTTTTCATGTTTGTTGACTGCATAAATGTCTTCTTTTGAGAAGTGTCTGTTGATACCCTTCGCCAGTTTTTTGATGGGGTTGAAGTTCTTTGCAAAAATTTTCTCCCATTCTGTAGGTTGCCTGTTCACTCTGATGATAGTTTCTTTTGCTGTGCAGAAGCTCTTTAATTAGATCCCACTTGTCAATTTTGGCTTTTGTTGCCATTGCTTTTGGTGTTTTAGTCATGAAGTCTTTGCCCATGCCTGTGTCCTGAATGGTGTTGCCTAGGTTTTATTCTAGGGTTTTCATGGTTTTAGGTCTTAGGTTTAAGTCTTTAATCCATCTCGAGTTAATTTTGTATAAGGTATAAGGAAGGGATCCAGTTTCAGCTTTCTGCATATGGCTAGCCAGTTTTCCCAACACCGTTTATTAAATAGGGAATCCTTTCCCCATTGCTTGTGTCAGGTTTGTCAAAGATCAGATGGTTGTAGATGTGTGGTATTATTTCTGAGACCTCTGTTCTGTTCCAGTGGTCTGTATATCTGTTTTGGTACCAGTACCATAAAAGTGACAAATTAATTGCTTTGGGCCAGAGGAAAGGTACTGACTTACAGCTGTTTACATAACTTTTGTCCAGGCCCAGCTTCAGATGCAGCTGTGTTGGATGTGTGGGTGGTTGTTAAGCAGTCCACAAAATAGTCTTGCTCTAAGAGTGTGTGAAAAAAACACATAGGGGCTGGCCTTTTATACAGCTAGTTAGGCAATAAAGTTGACATGGGCCTGGCAATTACTTCCTTAGATTAGTTGCAAAATCACACAAAATACAATACAAAAGCTGGGAAATTAGGGCATCATTCTGTGCTCTGTAGTAGCATTGCTCAATTGGCAAGAGCAGTATCCATAAATTCTGGCCTGATTTAATTGAAACCTGCCCCTCAGTAACCCTGGTCCTTTTCTAGGCAGTAATGATTATAAGCCCTAGTTCATCCTGCTGATTTTCTCATTCCTCGAGCAAGGAATACTTAGAGGAGTTTTGATGGTTGGAGCAACTCAGCAACCATTGAAACAGTGATGGTAGCATAGATATTTGTCCTCCTTAACCTCAACCTGGGAATCCCACTGGGAAGGTGATTGGGGGGAGGGGAGTCAAGGGTGTGGAGTTTTGGAGGATGTTTACCTGTCAGATAAATATAATAGCTTGTTCATAGACAACATAAATTAGGGTCTTCATGGAGGCAGTAAACTTGTTTATAAATCCAAGTTTACCATGAAAAAAAACATTCTTTGCTAAAGGGATTCATCAACAATCAGTAAAAGTAACAAGTACACCAAAATATATATACAAAAGCACTGTACTTTATTTAACTCCATACAAAATGTGATTAAAAAATTAAATAGGTGATGAGTTTTATTTTGAAGATCATTAAGTCAGTTTTTAAAATGTAGCTGTTTTACCTTGGTCACCTCAGCCGTTTTATATTCTCCTTTGTTACAAGCACGTGCTATAAACAGCAACTTTCTGGCTTATATCCTTAAGGAGTGAACGGACTTCTCCTTCCAGTCTTACTAATTCTTGAGCTTTATCTTCTAAGTATTTTTGATTGTCTTCATATTTTCTTTCTAAATCTGGGGATATATATATAAAGTCTGAGCAATTTATACTATGATGATCTCAAGACAAAGTGAATAGATTTTTCACTTTGAAATAAACTATCGATGACTTAAATTTAAAATAATTAAAAACAAGACCCACCTTTGAGCAGTTGCAGCTTGCTGTTTGCTTGAGCTAAAAGAGTTTTTGCTTCATTTTGTAGCATTTCAGCTTTCCTTCTGGCATCAGCTGACTCCTCAGTTTTTTTGGCAATTAAATTTTCTACTTTTTTATATTTTTCATCAAGTTCACCATCTAAAGTCTGTAGTTCCACATTTAGACAGAAAGAAGTGGTAATGTTAGTGTCAGTTTAAGAGCAATAGTATAATCATGGCATGGATTCTGGATATTCAGGCTTCATTAAGTTATTCACTGGTAAGTAATTTAAAATTTTATCTTCAAACAGTGGAATTGAACGCAAAGTAGACATGATTTTAAAGAACATTTCAAAAAATTCTGGAGTTGCAGCAGGTCCTTAGGGCTAAGTCCTCATTTTCTTGATTATTACTTTTCTATAGAAAATTGTAGCATAATTGTATTGTGAATTACATAGAGAAGTGCAGATTTTTCAAAAGTAAATTAGATATTAGAGAAGCCCATATTGAAATGGAGGCCCTTTGGATCTTGACTAAATTAGGGTTTGTGAAGACTTGCTTATAAGGAAATCAGAGGAAAAAAATTAAACAAAAGATATAGGAAGGAAAGGTGAGATTGTAGCATATGCAAGAAGTGAGTGAGTGAGAAGAGAAATGGGGTGTGGGGTTGGAATGCAAATTATTCTTTTTAGAAACTGTTCAAATAACCATTTATGGAAATTTCATTTCAAGAGGTTTTGTTTCTTTCTATTGTGATAAAATGTCATTAAGCAAAATGTCCTGAAGCAGAGTGCTTGAGAAATTTGTGCCCTCTACTGCAGGAAACCACACAAACCACAATAGAAAAGACAGCTGTCTGATACTGTGGCAATGAACTTTTCTCATTGTTTTGTTCTCTTCCCCAACCTAGAGAGAGGTAGTGAGGTTACTCTTATGTAATGCCTGAAAAGCTATAGTAACTTCCAGGAAAATTTTTGAATAGTAGAGAGTTATA